ATTAAAGAATGAGCTCCTCTATCCAGCTCCAGCTGTATACTACAGTAAGATTCATCTACATCAGCATTTTGGTTTGAATCAGGAGCATGCCTCCAAAGTGTACGTCCCAACTCTCTCCACTTGCTACTCTTCGCTTCACATACTGAAATGCTCTCAGGGAATACAAACTGGATTCCTTTCAAATGAAATTAAACCAGAAGATAGGCCCCAACTGTTCAGGGGCATTCAGTCCTTGGGACTGGAACTATTCTGAAGGAACCCCCCAGCACAGATATCAGGGCCTCGGAGCCAACTTTTTGTTTTATAGGTATGCACTTATCAGGCCACAGTGCTTGCCAGAGCAGTCAAAGAGTCCCTGGAGTTCTGCTGTCAAGAGCTAACTGTCCAGCTTTTCCTAAAACCCAACTTCCTCTCAAGCGTGTACTTGAGAGAGAGAATGAAGTAGGGGCACAGAGGATGAAATCTTTTTTCTTTTATTCAGTACCAATAGAACTGCAAATTAATGTCATTTGAAAGGGTAGAGACTCTTAAAGAAGGCCGAGAGATCACTCAAGAGAATGATGAAGGGGAAAAATATAAAATCTGTATTGCGTGGATGAACTAATGAATCCTGATAAGGATCCAGTTGTTTAATGCTGTCCTATTTCTTATTTTTAAAATGCATTAATAAAATCCAGGCTATAGTTCTCTTGCTAAATCACGTATTTCTTCAAATGAAGAATCTTCCTGCCTTTTGCTTCCCTTCCTTTAATCTTCTCCTTTAAAACATTACTCCAATTAGACTTTATTTTGGTGTCACTGATACTCTTGCTTTACAGCTTCTCTTCACCTATTTTTGTTTTTTTCTACTGCAGAAAATGTAGTCAGTGCATGGATGAACGAACAGGAATATTGGGCTTCTTTCGATGTACGCTACAAATCTGGCAACACACAAAGTATTTCTTTGCAAGCAAAGACAGTGGACAGAGAAAAAATATCTCCTGTCTGAGAATTAATGAAAACTTAGGGACTGAGGTATCCCAGTTCTGTATCAAGACAGAAGATTTGTTTTTAACTCTTTTGAGAATTGCTGACTCCATCCCAAACCTCAGGATTCCCAATTTAAATCCTTCTATGCCATTGTAAAGTGCTGCAAATTTGATGGGTTTTATTGTAATCTGAAACAAAAACGTCAGATACTTCCTCTTCCTGAACTAGCTTTCCTATCTTACCTACTCTTTTTCCAAAATGACTCCTACTTCATCACTAAAAAGATTTATTTAGATATAGAGAAGACTCTCAGCAAGAACGTAAAAGCAAGAAAATAACAGTGACCAAGCACAACCTGTTATCTGGGATGTACACCAAAGGGTGAAGGCATGTAAGACAACAGAAGGAAGGCAGTCATAGAAAACTGTACTTTAAGGCGTAGAAATTCATACATAGGTTAGCAAAAGGTGTATACCCTGACTGAGAAATACATTGTGATGACCAACTTAAGGAATCAAGCATCAACAAACTGGCTATCAGTACAGCCCATGGGAAAAGCCCATCTCCTTATTGGAGAGATGAGATCCATCTCTTGAGGGAGAGGAGAAAGGGCAAAACTAATGCAAATAAATAATAAATAGCTCAATGTGGCTGAACTAAAAGCCCATGGGAAAAGCCCATCTCCTTATTGTGTACTTGAGGGAGAGAAGAAAGGGCAAAACTAATGCAAATAAATCATAAATAGCTCAATGTGGCTGAACTAATCCACAACAGCTGAATTGCAGATAGCAGCCCCAGTACTAATGCTGCTATTTGCCACCACCCAGTTCTCAGGAGCTTTGTCTCCGATACCTGTACTGGGCCACTGTTCAGAGTCTTACTGCCCAGTAAGAGAAACTCTGACAGGGTTGGAATGGTACAAATGGTGAGAGATCACCCCTAATGATTGGGATTATTTCAGTCCCAAAGCTTAGCCAACCTTAGCTCCAAGTTAATTCCTTCCTTTACCATTTCTCTCTAACCCTTTTCCTCACAAGAATGCATAAAGCTTATGTTGCAGGTGACTGAGATGTAACTGGATGCTATAAAAACCAGAATGTCAGTGCCTGAATTGTAAGTTTGTTGCTTTTCCATTTTCCTTCCACTTCCTTGTCTTTTATTCGAAGTTGCAAAAATATAGCTTTGGAGTCTTTCAGTCCCATTGGGCTAATTTCATTTAATTTCAATTTAACTGAAGACTGTGTTTTAAGGAAAGCCAATATTCTCTCTCTTTGCTCATTTAATGAATATCCCACTTTTATTTGTACTTTTCATTGAGCAAGTAATTATGAGTCTAATGTATAATCCTTCTACAGGTAATAAAACTTAGAGAGGAGCATGGAAATGCCATTCAGAATGCAGCCCTGCTGCCTGAAGATTGCACCACATGTGATGACGAGGAGGATACTTCAGCTAGTTTATAAAATTTGCAAACTTTAGGCTGTAGCACCATGCAGAAAATCAACTACACATGAAATTGTTCATATTAGAGACAACACAGTGTGCCCAAACGTGCATATGCTACAAATACGATGTTTTTTAAACACTACAAATAACTGTTTCTAGAATTGAAGTGATCCTATGCATAAAATACAGGATTCCTTATCTATTATTACACAAGTTTGATACGAATTTCAGTTTCAGCAGTCTCCAGCTGAAACACGCTGGATTAGCCTGGGTCAACCCAACCACAAAGCTTTTTACAGAATTGAAACTCTGCTGAACGCTGGTTTGGTCTTGTACTTGGTACGAGAAACACTAGTGCGCGCTTGGTCTGTGAAAGACAACAAATTATTCATTTCAAAAGCTCCTGTTTGATCTTCTTTTAAACCATTAATTGCCCAGAAAATTGAACTAATAAGGATTGGTTTCCTGTAGTTATTGGCTCATTTAAACTCTTCCTGAACCTGAGGCATTCATAATGCCTCTTTATTATATGGATATTCTGGTATTTAACGTGAATTGAGATCGAGCCACAGTCCTTTCCTCTGGGAGGGCTGGAACACTGCCCTCCTCCCTTGGTTATTTTCCCTAGCCATGTAGGATCTTCATTTTTTTGACTTTTGCCCCTTTTTTAAATTCAGCTAAAAAATTGGTTTCAAAGAAACTGGAAAAAATAAGGGAGACACATGCACACACGCAAAGTATGATCTCATAAGCCTTATTTTCACAGGGACAGGCTGAAAACTTCATCATCTACAAACAGCCAGAAACTGAAATACATGCACGGAAAGGAAAAGGTGCCTGGAATATAAAGGTGTCCTTTTCCCTTGGGGTACAACTGCATATACTCAATACTAGCCCAGAACATAAGATTAATGCTGATTCTATAAAACCATACATCTTCTAATGAAAACACAGGAATATCTTTAGCCAAGACAGAAGCAGAGGGTACTGAGGTAGTCTCTGGGTGTGATTTATTTTCCCTTTAAAAAAAAAATCTCTAAAGCAATGGGCTGAATTTTTTGTTTATTTACACCAGGGACTTACTACAGCAAGTAATATAAGAAGAAAATTTATTCATGGGGTTTTTACTGACTGTAATTGGCTGCCGACTGGATCAGAGGTGTTTCACTACAAAATAACTGATTAAAGAAGCAGAAGATGCTCAGTTTAAGCCTCTCCTAGCTACACTTCCCTCTGTAACCAGTGGATAGCAGAGCTAAAATCTAACTCAGCATGTCTGTCATGGCGTTCTTCGAAAGCAACTATTTCACAGAAATAAGGATAATTATTAAAATGTATTCTTTTGCATATACATCACCAAAACACTGACAAAGTGTCATGTTGAATATGTGGTAGAGAGCACCACAGGATAGATCACTCACATTAAAAACTGTCTTGTGCACTGAGTGAGTGGAAGAAATGAAATTATGCCCTTGGAGTAATTTATTAGTGTAACATTGCATAAACAATTAGGATATTTCTCGTAATTTGAGGTTAAGTGGCTTGTGGGCAACTCCTGCACTACTAGCAAATTGCCTCATGTTTATCACAGAATTATTCCTTCTGTCCCGGGTCAGTTATGTACAACCTAGAAAGGAAGAACTGGAAGTTGCCTAGACTTAATACTAGAAACCAACAAGAAGATCATGGCTTAATCTTAGACAACAACATGTGAATAAGAAGAATGTGGTTAACATTGCAATTCTTTCCTTGTGCTCCTCCTGCCTTTTGTAACCATCCACATCACCAAGCCTCAGCTACCTTATGCACTGTCAACATCACATACAGCAATCTGTTTTGCACTTGGAGTGAGTTTGACCTCTTAGCATGGTGACATATAGTATCACGAGGTTGTGATTTGCCAGTGGTGGGATAAAACATGGGACAGTGACTCAAGAGCCAGTTGTTCACTATTCCTGGTGGATTTAGGGTGATGATTTCCGAAGAGATACTGAATTGTTCCACTGCATTTTGACCTAAAGTCAACTAAGAGTTGACAGTTTTGGCTAGATTGTGTGTCAACCTTTGTATCTGCAAACCTAAAAGAGAGAATGAAATTCAGACGATGAAAAATTATAAGGCAAGCATAAGGTCTGTTCAAATACTTGCAGCTTTATCTTCCACATTCCTTACACTTCAACTTTATATCTATATAGGCAGTATCTTGGGTGTGGCTAGAGTCACCTCTCCTTTTCATAAAGTCTGTCCAAAATTTTTCTCCCTTAAATAATTAGAAAATATCACAAGTAGCAAAACCAAGTTTGTTGTTGAATCAGTTTGTAACTCTCTGCAGAACCAGGATTCACTTAGCGGCCTCTGAAATAGCAGGATCTATGTGCATCATACCACACAGTTGGCATGCTTATTCTTCCAGCGTAAAGGACCGTTACTTTGTTTTCCAACAGACAGAATATGCACCAGCAGGCTGGTCAATTTATTGTTGAGATGAAGCAACAAAGATTTATATAGCAACCAGTTGTTATTAAACATTAGTTTGTAGGTATAGATACACTGAAAGAGAAAAACAAAGAGAAAAAAGTATGTACCTGTTGGGTAGTGTTCATTCACTGGCCAGCTGTCAACCTGAAGTGTGGCATTGCCACCATTCCTGGTAAAGCGTACCACGTGGTATTTGCCATCATTTACAGGTGTGCTTTCCTCTTTAATAGAGATGTCCACTGTGCCAATATTGAAGACTACACCAATCTTGCCTTGCTCCTAAAAGAAAACAAAAAAGAAACAAATGCTTGTAAATTGCTGCCTAGTAGGAGAATGTTCTTGGCCTATAAATCTCTAATGCGTAATTGCGCTGGTAGATGGCACTGAAGAATACACAGAATCGTCATTTAAAGCTTTGTCAGGACACATTTCATTGGCTCTGCTTCAATACAAACATTGTCTTTTGCACTCTTCTTTACAGTATTCACCTGAACACAGTGATTCATTTGTTCCCTTAAAACATCACAGAAGACAGGTGAGAAATCAGGCAATAAAAACCAGGAGACGTGGATAAATAGTTATTTGAGCAACATCTCTACTGATTATTAGTAGTCACTTGTTCAATTGTCATCTGAAATACAGCCACAGGCAGGCTGAATCCCAACAGCTGTTTGTTCTGTTATTCTGCTTGTGAAACAAACAGCCCCCACCCCAAAACAAATAACCGTGGGATCCAGCAGGGAGAATGCAGTTACAGGATGGATGGGATTAGAAGGGAGCAAAAATGTAATTAGCCAACTTTAACTTCGACCACCTGAGGGAAGCTAATTGCTCTTAAACTAAATGGAAAACCTTCCAGACTTTCAAAAGACAGGAGTGGCCACAGTCTTTTACTTTTCTACATCACACCCCAGACAGTGCCTTACCAATAAAGCAGTCCTCCATAGTGTTTTCCCAAAACTTCCACCAGTCACTGACTGAAAGGGAAGAGCGGGCAAAGCCAGTTGTACTAACCATAACACCTCCTGCAGCACCAGTCATGTAGTTCCAAGTAATGACCGTATTCAATGACTTTAGGTTGTAAAATACACACCCAGAGTATATTCAGATTAGATATCCACATTTAATACTACTGATTTAAACAGTGCCAGAAATTCCCGTCACTGTACAGTATACAATTAACAGGAATGCATCTTCAAGCCCACAACAAGGAGAGGCACAGTACGCTGGTGTCAACATTTATGAAGGCCTATTAGGTGTACTGCACGGATTCAAATCTGGTGCAGACAGGCAGAACTAAAATGTATCATATAGGAAGCCAATACATTTGCTAGCTATCCATACCATAAAATTGGCAATAGCTTTGTTAACCCTCTCAACAGAAAAATCAAGGAAGAAACAACAACAGAGAGTAGATGGCCATCTCGTATCCAAATATAGCCTTTTCAAAACAAAACTGAGGTATACTAAAGGGGCAAGAGACAATTTTGTTACTGTTATTACCTTACATAATCTGCTTGGTGGGCAGAGGACTCCATCCTTCAGGGCTATTACCCTGGCTCACTTCACTACATTCACGTTAGCAAATCTCAGCAATAAGAAAGAAACCTCTCCTCTTGCACTTGAGGGCCACCTCAGATTCCTCTCCTGGATTTACTCCTGTCTCCTGGAATCAACAGACTTTTGCCTTAAAACTCCCATGTCTTCCCATTTCTCACAGAGGCCTTTCCCGATTCCTACTTTACCTTACATTTCAAAGTTTACTCATACCAAAATACTCATCACAAGTTCCTTATATCTTCAATACCCTTCTTTTTTTGGACTTTTTTTTTCCCTAACACCATCCCCCCCTGGTCTTCAGACTACAACACTGTTATTAGGAAAGGAAAACAAACAGTCCTGGAGCTGAAGAGGTCATTAAAAAATTTGGACTGTGCTTCAACTACTTGAAGCTTAGCACTGTAACAGTAAGCACCCTGGTTTTTCTCTCGTTATAATGGTAAATTTTAGATTCTGCTAAATGTATGCTGGATATCAACAGCCTCATGTACATTCACACTGCTATGCTTTGGATGGACTTCCCTTCAAGATGTCAATAATTTTTTTTCACTGGAACATGGGGTAAGTGGCTTGCTGCTCCCAGCAGATGCAGGAACTCAGATACCATTTGGAAACAATCAACCTTTCTTTTCTTATGCTACCGCAAAAATAAGGGAGTTTTCCGCGAACAGAGATTTATTTCAGGTAAAACCATTGCTGAGGCACAGCTTTACCATTTCTTTGACATAAGAATTAAGTGATCTCCCAACACTGTTTTAGTGACTCTTTTGCTGGGAACCATATAATTATCTTTGTCTGCATAGCAATTAGTGAAGAACAAGTGATTAATTTTTGCTCAAAGACTCAAAGAATGTCTACTGACCAGGTAACCTGGCTACTGACTCCATGTGGTTTTGCAAGGTGCTGCCTTATAATCAACCTCTCGGACAACCTCTCATACAGCTTTTCAATCACCATCAATACATCAAATCTTCTTTTGCAAACTGTGGCCACTCTGAGAAGAGTCCACCTTGGTGAAGGCATAACATAAGCAGGTAAGATAAAGAGCTGCGCCTTGTCTAACGGAACAGATCTCCACCACCACAGAAGAGGAAGGGATTAAGAGGTATTCAGCAGAGTGAAAGCTGTGTACCTTCAAGCCCTACAGGCTTAATGAGGCAGAGATAAAAACTTGCAAGTAGGGAAAGGGATGGTGGGAAGTTTAGCTAATCTCCCCTGCAGAAGGAGAAAATGTTTCCGATCTCTCCTTTGAGAAAAAGGAGATAGCACCTTTCGCCATTCCCTTTCCCTGGGCTTGAAGGAAAAACCCTATTTAAAGGGCTAGTGATAACCCATGGATAAGAGGGCAAACTGGGAAAGAGATAAGATTCTGGAAGTGTAGGACTGCACACTGCCAGTGGCCTTTAGTCTGCTGGAGAGAGGAGGGAAATGAGCAAACTGGTGCCCTCCCCATCCCAAGCAGATCGCCACCCCTTCCCCCCGAGGGAACACAGCCCTTCTAAAAGCAGCGTAACACTTTGTTGCAACTGAGAAATGCAAAAATTTGTCAAAAAAAAAAAAAATCACAGGCCTGACTGAAGGCCTACTCCAGCTTTCTTCAGTCCCCCCTTGGGAGAGCTCCCTGTGACTCTTTAACACAAGTTTTGCAGAAGCACAACTTTATGCCAGATTTTGATACTCTTATTTGGACTGAGTAGGAGCTTGTAATGAAAATGGTTCTGTTCCAATTACCAGGATAAAACACAATATAATACAATACGCCAAAAGCAGGGCTATTGAAGCCAAACTGCACACACAGACTTCAAGATACAGTTTACTCGTGATATTTTATATCTCCAGGGCACCAGACAGTATGAAAAAAGCAACAATTAGTTTATGCATTCCTGGCAGAAAAACAAAGTGAAGCAAAACACAAAGAAAATCCTACAGCAAAGAACAGTGACCATGGACACAGGGGGCAAATCCAGGATTTATTTTCAAGATCTCTTCAATTCTGCTTTCCTAGACTACCACACCTCATTAAAAGCAGCTTTTACCAAGACCTACCTTCCTTCTAAATCTGAAAGACAAGCTTTACTGTTAAACTTTAGCACTTCATGATGGACGTGACCTTTCATTCCTTTCCCCTTACATTCAGCTTGTAGATTTTCTTTCCATGTTACCAAACACAGGTATTAACTAGACCAGTAAGTATGTGACAAAGAAAGGTTTACCTTTGAGCCACTATCTGTAATGTTTATTTTGTAGTTAAAGAAAAAAAATCCTAACCATACAGCAAGGGAAAAGCTGCATGCAGAGCCACACAGAATACGCAAGTTACATGCTCCAAAAGGGTTCAAGAGAATTTTAACAGACAGTGTGCGTTTTTTCCTCTCTGCATCGGTATACACTGGGCTGCCCCAAACACTTTCCATGAAAAAGTGACCATTAATTAATGTTTTTGAAACCTCCAAGTGACATCAAGTGCTAGCACTATATCTTGGAAAATTCAGAACCATTTTATTTATAAATAATGTAGTGAACTCTGTATTCAATCTGTATTTTACTTCTCCCCTTCTTTATTTAAGGCTACTGTGCCAAAAAGGATTTTTAAAGTTCCTCAAGAATTTGTCTTTTGCTGATTTGTCCCATAAAATTGTTGCCCTCAAAAGCCACATTACCGTTTCCTCACTTACAGTCCTTCTGGAGATAAACTTCTGCCATGATGTCTCTAAGACTTCAGGCAAATAATTATGATCACATAATGGAATGGTTGTAGATAAATTATAAGAACAAAAACCCCCAAAGTACTAAAAAGAATGTACAAGGCCTCACCTTGACCTCTCTATTCTACACCATGTCCTTCCACAGGCTCCTGGCAACAGTTTCTTGTTACATGCATTGTTACCAGAACATTTTGAACATTATTAAATTATATAGGGGCTAATCTACAGCCTGGATCAGGAGATCTGCAATCTATTGCTTGTCCGTAAGCATTATTTCACTTTGGGCAACTTCTTCTTTTACCTTTCCGTGAAACAGATTCTTCATCTGTGACAGAGGGGTGATAGTCAAGTATCTTTCCAAGCTCTACAAGCCCTGTAAATCCAGATATATTTTACTTAAACATTGATGATATCCTGACAATCCTAACTCTTTCAGCCCTGAGAGCAACTACAATCCAAGAGGAGGAAGTCCTAAGGTTTTCTCAGCTTCTACTTTCAACTCCCAAACCCATTCCTTTCCTCTGAAGGGACCTCAAGAACATTTCTGAGCTCTGTCATTTTTGCAGGTATGTTTTTTCTTTTGTTTCCCTCCACCCAAGGAGAACTAGAGTCTGTCTCCATGCAAGTTGTCAGGCCTTTGTTTACTCTGTGCTGTGCCTTTACATTTGGAAGGCATCTGTCTTTCTGTAGCAGACCAGGTGGAAACAAAGTCAAATGGGGGTGGCAGTGATTTTGCAGTTGGAGTGTGTTAGAGATGACACATACGTGAACAGCCACATGCACGGTACGCTCTGAAAAGGGCTTTACCTTTGGGTCTTCTTTTTCTTATTCTAAAATTCAAATAATCCAGACTGAAAGTATATAGCTGTTCCCTGTGTGCAGAAAGCATTTCATTTCAAAAACCAAGAGAGAGAACCCCAGGCAATAGGACAAATCCTACTCTCAGCTGCATCAATATGAATCGATAGCAATTCTGTTGAAGAAACTCGATTCCTACTGATGCAAGTGGAAGCA